TTTTGGTGAAGCGCCGGTGCTCAGGTTAGCCCAGCCGGTACCGGGACCACTGAGGCAGCTCTCAGCATCAGCCCCCACCGCCATCACCCGAGATACCGGGAACGGGACATCCAGGTTTACAAAAAAAAAAAAAAAACAAACCAAAAACCAAAAACCAAACCGCCCCCCAGGCTGCGGGAGATGCTCGGCGCGGCCCGGCTCCCGGGGCCGGAGGCGGGTCAGGGAGGAGGATTTCTAACTGTCAGATCCCAGCTTTGCCTAGGTCAGGATTGCACCGCGGGGTGATTTACCATCCGTGCGGAACAGGCTCCAGAAATCGCTGTGAAAGTCCTGGGGCAAATACACAGAGAGCGATCTGCGGCAGAGCCAAGGGAAAACTTTGTCACCCAAACTCTTCTTATTTTATTTTTTTTTAAAACAGTTTCAGGTTGTAAGTTCATTTCAGCTAAAACTCCAAACGGCCAAGTGCATCACAGATCGCATCACCAGGAAAGCTCCCTGACCTCAGCCCTGGACTGCCTGCAAACAGTAAGATTTCTACAACAGAAACTTAAAACCCACCAAAATGACATTTATGCCACACGTGCTCTTTCTCCAGTAGGTCCAGGCACTGTGCTGGTTTCTCCCTTCCAATTGCGACCTGGGCTATTGGATTTCTTCTCCGAGGTCCTTCCTCAGCACCTGGCAGGTTTCTCGGGGAGCTGTGGGGCTCTGCAGAGCCCAGCCGCTCACTAAGGAGGTGGAAATCTGCTACGGAATACTCTCCTCGGCTACAAGCCCATCATATACCCAGATTCACATTTTTTTCAACAATATAGTGAATAAGAGAGTGCTAATAACTGACCCAAGCTAGCCCTCCTCCTCCTATATACACAGAATTTCTGCCTATAATTTATGACTGAAATTTTAGGATCAATTTTTATTGTTACATAGTTCTTGTTCTCAATAAGACTGTGCCTGTGCTGCTGAAAAAACCTGAAAGAATGCTGTATTACGTTGCTGTTTTAGGGGAAAAAAAAAAACTATATCCACCTTGGAGCAATGTCCTCTTCAGAATTTTAAATCTTTGTCCTCTGAGCAGAGCGTTAGGAGTTGTGTGCTGAGCAGACAAGCTAACAGGAGCTGTGCTGGAGAACTCGTTCATCTTGCTTTAGAAATGACCCAGGAGTTAAATCTGCCCTCACTTGACATCGCTGACTTTTATGGGACTACCCCAGTGTGACCCAAGGGCAGACACAACCCCAGAAATGTAGATATCACAAGCCATAACTAACCAAAAGCAGCGGCACACACATTAAATAAACTGCTGCAGAAAGCTACAGATTCAGAGAAATTTTCAGTCCAAACTGGACCTTCCGTAGCTTGGTTCTCACCAAGACTTAAATTTCCAGCAGATGTGAAAGAAGTGGAAATAAAACCACTGAAATACAGGAAAAAAAAAATCCACTGATAACAAACTGCTGAGAAACAGGAGAGCACCTCCCCAATACAGAGTGTTCAAGTGTCCAAAAATCAAAGTTAAGTCACATAATGTAAGAAAAAAAACCCCAAACCTTCTCTAACCGTGCCGGCAGCTTGAAGCACGGAGAGCTGCGTGCAGCAAGGCAAAAACCCCCTGGATGGAAACGCACCTGCACACCCGGGCTCCCAACTAGGGCACCCCCGGAGCTGCTGGGAACGGTGGGCACACAGGTCCCCGTGGGGCGAGCCAGGCTCCAGAAATACTTCCAAGGACATTCTGGGGCCCCGAGGGTGTTATTGCGGTTTGTGTAAGGTATCCTTAAGCAAGGTGCTTAAAGAAATAAATAGGTCAATGCCCTCGGAGGTTGAATAGCGACAACAAATCAAACAAACAAAAAGTTCCCAATGGACCTACGGGATCCTGGCACAGCCTCGGAGAGAGTCTGTCCCAGAGAACAGGCACGAAACTCCGCACGAAAATCCCTGTACGTGCGCAGACTGCCCCATCCGCCCTTACGATCAGCCATCAGGAGCATCTCGTTCATCGTCGCAACCCAGGGCGAAAGGGAATCCTCAGAAAATGAGTCTCAAAGTATTTCCATAATAACGCTGCTTTGTACAGCGGATGAATATTCCAGCTCCAGCTAATGGGTTTGCTTGCCTGTAACCAGAGCAGGAAAGCTAATAAAACCCATAAATCCCCTCCTGGGGTTAAAGGAGAACAAAACTACCCAGAACTTAGGCAACAGAACTACGATAATTCTGTAATTATCAATCTGGGCAACGACTGCCTGCCACTGTGCTGTCTCTTTAAGGAGCACAAAAAAAGAAAAAAGCTTGATAAGGATACTGCTTTTTCCTTATTTCATCATTCCGGCCCCGACTTCTCCCTTCACCTTGGGCGCAGTGACCTCCGAATGGCCTCATCAGTTCCTCGGCTTTGTGGACAGGGCGATGTCACCTCCTCAGCACCACACACGGGGCATCTGCGCCTCCGCACCGATAACCGGGGACGGGCTATCTCTGCTGGAACAGCCACCACGCCACCCCGCTGAAGCTAAAACCAAGTTCAGGAGCTGGAAGGACGATGTAATTCCAGCAGGTTGTTGCACGTGGGTAGCCAGGGAGACGGCTATAGGGACCTCTCCTCCATCAGGTGCCATCCTGGCGTTACCCAAGCGTACGATGTTCTTAAGCAAGTGCTGGAGCACCTACAAGATGAGCCGGGATCTAAACGCGCGGGTTGGTGGGAGAGGTGAGAGCAGGCAGCCTGCACCGCACGCCGTCTCGCAGCCGCTCAGGAGCCGGGCAGAGGTGTGCCGGTACGGTACAGCAGTCACAGAACTGGTAAGGAGAACACTGGGTGGGTTCGGAACAGCTGTTTGTCCCCGATAAGAGGCTCAAAGCGGGCAGGATCCGAGCTTTCAGATTCAAGCCCGTTGAACGTTTACGTACAGGCTGTAAATTCAAACCAACTTTCACACGAACAAGCAGGCGCAGCCTTGCACGCTCGCTGCGTGAGGCCGGGCTGCTCGGCAGGGCTCGCTCTGGCTGGATCAGCCTTAGAGCCCTTTTGTCAGGCTCTGCTACCATGTTTGATCTACGCCTAAATTCCTCACTTCCTACCCCCCCTCCAATCTGGATCACACCTGGAGAGCTCTCTTTTAAAAGCCAGGAGTTAATCGGAAATGTTTCCCAGGTTCACTCCCCTGGGACACCAGGAGAAGGTGCTGCTCTCTCGGCCCCTGTTTAACCTTTTCTTTGATTTCCTGCAGCACAGCAGCAAGGAATTAAAAGCTGGTACAGGCGTATAACACCTAATGTCTCTATTTCGTACTCCATACAGATCCACCTGCTCTACACAGAAAGTTATTCCCGTTGTTCAAATCTGTTTCTCTAATGTGGTTGCCACAAGGTGGAGGTATGAGGGTACGACAACAGCGTTCGTTAATAAAGCAGACTAATAATGATGTTCCGTATGCTGGATTTTATATTTGCTTTATTACCACTAGAGGGAGGAGGGAACTCACCGGACAGTGGGACTGGAAAAACAAAACTCTCCAAAGCAATTCACACCAAAACTGCCTTCAGCAGGGACATGAAATCCTCCTT